TTGACTGTTTTCTTAAAATAAGTTTTCAAAAACAGAGAGAAGAGAAAAGAAATTAAACTATCCGCGACACTAGACTTTCCACACTTTCGCTTCATTCGATTATGATTCGACGTGAAAGGCACTCATCACCGGGTTTGGTTTTGGGGAGACACAAATGGGTGTCTACACTCTATTGTTCAGAGACGCGTGGACATGTATTTGAAGCTCTTTGTTCAGAGGCGCGTGGACATATCCAAAAAAGGGAAGCTCTTTGTTCAGAGACGAGTGAACATCAAAACAGCAAGATGGTGTTCCATAGATTGTGGAGAGTTGTCACAAACAATTGAAGGTGATTTCAAGCGAAGTTGTCTTCGATCGTGTTCCCTAAGATGTGGAGGATGGTCATAAAGCGGAAGAGGATCGTTTCAAGCGAAGCAATCTTCGATAGTGTTCCCTGGCTTGCGGAAGATTATCAAGGCGGAAGTTGGAGGCAGTTACAAGCGTAGAAGTCTTCAAGCAGGATGGCATTCTCTAGCTTGCAGGAGGTCGTCAAGACTGAATACAGCAGCAAACGGTTACTTTCAGAGGCGTGTGCTCGACGGTACAAGAAACACGTTTCTTAACTCTTTTATCTGTTAAACTAACGCTAGTTTGCAGGTATCGGCGTTACAAGAGTGGTTTAGGATCGCAGAACGTTCTGAATCATTCTCCGTCCCTATCGATACTTTGACTTTTGTTTTCAAAACTTGCGTTTCACCAAACTCAGTCAAAGTGGGGGCTTCTGTAGACACCCATTTGTGTCTCCCCAAAACCAAACCCGGTGATGAGTACCTTTCACGTCGAATCATAATCGAATGAAGTGAAAGTGTGGAAAGTTTAGTGTTGCGGATAGTTTTAATTTCTTTTCTCTTCTCTCTGTTTTTGAAAACTTATTTTTAAGAAAAAACAGCCAATCTAGTTTGGTTGGTCCATGATATGGGTCCAATAGCAGTGTATTTGGATGGGGTTTGACAAGAGATTTCCAACGATATATTATAAGCCCAATTCCGATGAATATTGAGGAAGTTATGGCCAATTTACTAAACTGGTCCCGGTTTAAGCCTTATATGAGGCCCAATGATCTAGAGGAGGGCCTAATATAGATTTATCATTCTTAATGCAATTAGGAATAGTTTTAGTCTTCTAGATTCTTCTAGAAGGTTCTTTTCATTCCTAATTCAATTAGCATTGATAAATTGACTTTTGTTGACTTTTCAGAGTTTTAATTAAAATCAAAGAACGTTTTTTTGAGGAAGTTACGATTTTATCCTCCTGTACGGCAATTTTTATCTAATTTTTAAGAAAACACATGAATTTCTAAATCAGCGCCAAACGCCAGCTGTAGCGCCTGGCGCTAGCATTGGCGCCTTGCGCTAATGTTGGTGTCTGGCGCCAATAGCCAGTGTTGGCGCCAACATCGTTTTATCTGCGCCAGAACTCTGTTTTGATATTTTATCTTTTTGGCTGATTTTCTCTATAAATAACGTCGTAAAAACTCCATTTTCATTCATCAACAATAACCTATAACCAATTTCATTCATCAACAACTAATTTTTCATTCATCTACGATCTATCAATTCTCTCTCATCGAGATTCTCTTGATTACTCTCTCTCTCTCTCTTTTCTAAACTAGTTTTTCTCAAAAACAAAATTCCGCATTCATTAGATCTAGATACTCCTAGCCATATTCGAAGTTGTCTTCGCCCTAGACGTGAAAGCTTTAATTTCTGAGGGTTTGGTCCCAAATCTCTCTTTCAATTAATTAATTTAATTTAGTTGTTTTAATTATTATTTTCCTTAAAGTTACTAACACGTGTATTTTGTTATTAGAAAGAGGTACGAGGCATCAAAGTAAGTATTTTAATGGTTTTTATTAATGTTATGATATAGAATTCATGCTTGGGTTGTTATTATGATTCCTAGTATCATGTCTAGGGTAACTTTAATACTAAATATGATTGTTATGATGCCTTTTATTTTCTTTCCTAATATTCATGTTAGTATCATGTTAGGGTTAAAGATTTGATTTTTATTGTTAGTGACATGCTAGGGTTTGTTATTAATCTTGTTAGTATCATGCTTAGGATCTTGCTATTATTATGCTTTAACATGATTTATGATTATTAATTATGATTATGATTATTTTTATGATTGTGATTATTATAATTATAATTATAATTGTGACGATTATATATTACGTTGCTTGATATTTATTGTTATTTCTTGATCACACCTTTTATGCATGTTTAAAGGGAATAATATAATTAATAATCTTGTTCAGGGTTAATTTGATTATAATTCAAGTGATCGCCAATAATAGATTTATTTGTGCATTAAATTCAACCAACATAGACAAACGGGTTTAGGGTTAATCATATTGATTGCATGTTAGTCAGAAAACGCACATGAATACGATCAGAATAAAGTAGAGGCCTATTATTAGGGCAGGTTCAATCTCTTTTAGGTTGGATTTGTACCTTCATCCCCGAACCCTATTTGGTTCAAGACCTTATGGAGTTGACGATCTCTTGGATCGTTAAGGGGTGTAACCTTCACCTCGTGAACGGTTTACAAGTTCCTAAAAAACTTGTTGGCGACTCTTTTGCTCTATCTTCTTTTCCTTTGGACGCCACCGTACTTTTGTGTATGATCACAGTGGGGTTCAAGCTAGGGGATTAACGCTTGAAATATCCCCTACAATATGTATTTAGAGTTATTCGATGAGATCTTGTAATGGGAAAAAGGGTTTGAGTATTTTGGGTTTTGGGGGTGAGATTGTGAATTCTCTATAAATTCACATCTGAGTGTATGAGTTTGAATTCTCTAAAATTCAAGTGGTAGCTGTGAGTGCACAGTGACTGAAAGGAACCTGAGCGGTGTCTTGGGTCACCTAGGAAGTGTCCTGGGTAAAGAGAGAAAAGGGTCCTAGGAAGTGTCTTAGGTCTGCTAGGAGGTGTCCTATCATATAGGCAAGTGTCCGTGGTGGAACGTGCGAAGCAAAGGTTTGTGTAATAGGTTGTACTAGGAGAGTTGCTTATTATAGTGGAATTTGTTTATAAGTCCCAATAGGGCCGAGGTTTTACTTCCAGCTAGGCACTGGATGGTTTCCTCGTAAATCTTGCTGTGTTTTTTAAGTTCCTTTTATGTTTTGTTTTTAATTTCCGCATAAGTTTCACAATTGGAACCTACTACCATTCACCCCCCTCTTGTAGTAGTTCATCTAAACTAACACGATATAACAATTGGTAACTTATCATCTTCGTAGTTGTAGATCAAACTCGCACACAATGACAAGTCTTTAAGACGGGGACAAGACTTAAACAGGTTACCAAAACACATCTGTTAGCATAATCAGTGTGTAAACGCAAATGAAGTTTCTGTAAAATTGGGAGATTAATCTCTTCAGGCAAAGAAACGACAACGTCTATACTCAAAAAAAGATTTACCAACGATTGACATTGAAAGAGTTGAGGTGGTAACGTTGATGTAAGGTGCTGAAAATTATTCAAGTATTTGACGTCGATTTCGTGCACTTTTCGAGTGTAAAGAAAACGAACCCATGTACCAATACAAGACCCTAACGTAGTAAGGTAAGATCCAATTTCATAGGAATGTGTAGGGTAAAGGTGGAGTGAGAAGGTTTTGATTTCAGGGGATTTGAGTTGGGGTAATACATGGTTAATGATGGCAGATGCATCATCATCGTGGGTCTTTAAACATGACGCATCCACACGAAAGGCGGTGATGAAGATCCAGAGATTGTACCATCGTCGGGATAATACATCGGTTATGACAGCGGATTTGATGGGAAGGAGTGAGAGAATTGTGATGAGGATTGCGTTTGGAAGTGAGCTCAATTGATCCATTGCTTGCAATTTTGATTTCTTCTTAGGGTTCTGTTATTAGGGTTTTGTGGGGTTATTGGGTTGTGAATCTATCACTACATACTACGAGTATATATATGCTAGGCTTCAGTTCATTTCACTTGAAATGATGTGTTTTTGGTTTAAAATTTGAAAAGTCTAACTGACATTTGCCTAATTATTAAACGAGATCTCTCGCTTTGCCTAAAAAAAAAAAAAAAAAAAAAAAAAAAAAAAAAAAAAATTAAACGAGATCTTATTGCGTATGTAAATTAATTTTCACATTATTTTTCAAATATCCAATTTTTATACATAGTATATACAAAATTAAAATATACATGAAGATAAGCAAAAAGAAATTTAATTGGAATACTGATCAATTGTTTAACCAAATTTGTAACAAAATATACCTAGCACAAAAGTTTTAACAAAATTATCTACTAAGACCAAAGTATGAAATTTACGTACTTGTATAATATAAATTTGTAAGGTAGGTCTCGTGCAATGTATGGAATTTGCTATGTTTTGGAGTATGAGTTTTACCATAGTCTTTATATAAAAACAGTATGCATTACTGCATTACTTCGAATTAAACTAATCAATACAACTTAAATTATGTCAAATAAAAGTCTGTTCTTTTCACCTAATTTTCACTTATTTCATGTCTAATAAGTTTAGATAAGTTTAGATAAATTAAGTTCAGAAAAAATAAATTCAGATAAGTTAAGTTTAGGAAAAATAAGTACTGATAAAGGTTACCTAAGTTCAAATTACAACTAAAATAAATTTTAATAAGTTCAGATAAGTTCAAATAAGTGAAAATCAGGTAAATAGAACACACCCTAATTCTTGACTTGATCTATACCTAAGTTCATAATCTGAGGAACAAACTGAGGTTACATAGTTACATCACTAGGAATACAGGTCGATCATCCATAAAACATTCAATTGTTCCCTCAAAAAGAAGCTAATTCTCGAAAATTGAAAATATTTATCCTATTGTGAATTAAAGCTACCTATTTGAACTTTATAAACCCAGAACTTTGTTTACAATGGAAATAACAAGCCAATAATCTATGGTGAAATGCCTTTTTCGCCTATAATTTTGGTAAACTTATCTCACAAATTCTTGATTTTATCAGCTTTCTTACAAATTACTCAGTCAACAATCATCGAACAATAATTATATGGCAAACTATAGACAAAAGAGTTTACCATTTGTACCCTGGCGTATAGATCATCCCAAGCGAACAACTAACTAGCTAAAGAGTTATGGCTATGTCCTAAACACCTAATTAGACTACTACAATAAAGAAGATAAGCCACACCTTGACCCTTGTCCCTCGATCACCTTTACGCCTGAGTTCCATGGCGTCTCAGCAACGAGGTTCTTTCTCTTTCCCTGATGGGATCTCACTCTCGGCCTTTCTTTTTTTGGTCTCAACAACTAACTTCTTCACATATGAAATATATCCATCAATGTTGAATTTTCTTTTGCAGCCAGCATAGTTCATATAACGGACTTTACCAAATACTGGGCGTTCTCGCCACCCCTAAAAAAGCCATCCAAGTACATTACTTTCAGTATGAAAGCAGGCAGCACTTAATACTAAAGAAGATTAACAAATAAAAAACCATATGTAGTCATATATATACTTCAGTAAGAAGCAAAACCTGGTCATGCACTCCACAAATAGACCACATGCAGCCGACGTATCCACTCGGGTCTCTACCATCCAACTCATACTGCATACACCCAACAAATAACTGAGAAACAAATTTCAATGATAATCTCTCATTTAAAAAATTGACAGTAAATTACAAAGAGTTACCTTGTCATTCAAGTAGATAGCTATTGCAAGGGCTTCTTCAGGTCCACTTGTCCACTCAAGAATTTTCTTTGCCCAATACATGCTGCATATCAATTCAGTCACAAACAATCATATTACTAAGTGAAGCACACAGTATAAAGGAAGAAAAAAGATACAAGAATTTTCGGTCTTCAATGAGATGAGCAATCAGAATCAAATCAGAACACAACTAATGAGCATTCATAATTGAATCAGAACACAACTGATGTTGGTCACAGATGACGGGAGGTAATATGAACAGCTGAACGGTTACTGTAAATCTGAAATTTAGTTCCTAGATGTACAATGGAGGCCATACCCACCAAGCTCTATGCTTTCTGTATGCATCAATCTCAATTTGACTATAACCTCCCCCCACCCCCTCTAAAAAAAAGCACACACAAACGCCAGGTGAAACCTGCATCAAAATAATTCCATTGGAATCCCACTGCTGAAAGGATTGTGATATATCATCTTCTAATAAAGCTAAAAACCGTGCAATTTCTTAAGGACTAAAAAGTCATTACTTGTCAACCACACTCAGGTGCAACAAAAAGTCATAAACCACTAACAGAAAGTAATACTGTTTCCTCACATTTATCCAGCGTAGACAAGCATGCTAGAGTCCAACACAGTTACAAAGTAGTTAATAGAATATCTATGATGCATGCTTTGTAGTTTAAACATATAGACTGGCAAGCAATGAAGATGAAGTTACAAAGTGTTACAAAGTAGTGCAAGGTGTGTATGAAGTATATAGATTGAACAGATAGTTGGAGTTCCGCTAGTTCATAGTTACTTGCCGCATAAATCCATGCATCTTGCCAAAATGAACCATCTCCAACTGAGAAGCATTCCACAGCTGAAAATGTAACAATTAATGTCAAACGTCAAAAAATCAAAATGAGCAAGCAAATGGAGAAGAACATACAGGGTAGAGCCGTAGAGGTATATGACAGACAAGAAAGATAAAACTCTTGCATACTTATTTTAGACAATAAATGTTACCTGATCAGCAGTTTGTGCCTTCTCCAATTGCTCTCTCCTGCAGTTCTATCAATCAGTTTAAAACTGGCCAAGTAAAAAAGTATATCATCAAACATTAAGCAAAAGCAGGTTTTCATTACTTACGTGTACAAGTGTTCCCTTTTATCAGAAGCATGATCCATCAATGTCTTACGTGCCCACTCCCATGCCCCCATGATTGAGTCATAGTTAGGTTGATAATAGCAGAAGTTATCAGCAAGTTCTCTACGCACAATTAATTCTTCCAAAAATGCATCAACTGCCTTCAAGATCAGAAACAATAAGCGAACATATAGTACTAGACTTCATAAATTCCAAGAAAGAAGAAACACAAAACATTCTCATCAAAATCTAGACAACATAATGCCTCTTTGAATCTCCCCTATTTCCTACTAAAACGAAGCTACTCATCCAGCTTAACTACTAAACTCAAGATTCAAGGGACAAACCTCAGGAGCAACTTTCCGGACATTACGTGCCTCAAAAGCACAGCGTTGAGCTGATATTTGGCCGAAATGCAAGTATGGAGAGAGACCAGATAGGGCTTTTGGTTTTAACGGGATATTCCGTTCAGTTGCATAGTTCTTCAATCTCTTTGTTAAGAACCCATTCTGGCTTCCCTTCAAGACTTCAAGTGCAGCAGTTTCACCAGGTTCACACCAATCAACTTCTGGCACTCCTGCTCCCTTCCTAACCAGAACAATCAAAGTTTTAATTCTAAATCATAGAGAATACAAGCATGTGACTAAACTTATCAGCCAGAAGAACAACCATACCTTATAAACTCATCTCACTGGTTGAGATTTAGTTTTAAATTTCATAGCCATCCCAAGTATACAATTTAATACATCACAAACGCTATGTTCATGTGGCCGACCCCACTTATGAGATTAAGGCTTTGATTGATTGATTGAAAACACGCTATATATGTTAAAATTTAACACTCCCCCCACCTTCCCCAATCCCCAAAGACCCCAAATAGATATAAAATTTGAAAGTGCAATAAAAACACAATTAATGTATGAAATCAGTTACATAACTGCAAACTTATAATCGACAAATTCTTACTTGAGACGGTCTTCAATGAGCTGATCCCATTGTATGACAGGAGGTAAAGAATCCCACTTCCTGCTAGGAGGTTGAAGAATGGGATAATCAATCAAATAAGTAGGCAACAATTTGTTTATTTTACTCCTAATAGTCCTGGCACCATACTCTAACTTGCTTGATGCTTCCCAAATCGGCACCACATTATGAGCATCCACTTCATGTATAGATACCGAATCATCCACTCTCTTACAAAGTTCTTCTTTGAATCCTCGAATTTCCCTTAAGGGTGTGAAGTCAGTAACTAGCAGAGAAGCCCCACATTCTACCAAAAACTTAGGAATAGTCTCTACAACTTCTCCCTGTATGTGAAGGAAACATATCAATCAATTTTTGTGAAAAATGATCAACCTAATAAAATTGTTAGAAATGTACATTGTAAATACTTATTGTCCAATGTAGGAAGTTTAATTAAGCCACTATACATTCTTTCAGTGCATAATGCTCATTGTGCACTCGTGTCTATGATCTAATTTACGTTAAGCAAACCCATCTCTAGTTATACGCAAACATGCTACTTGTACACTTCTACACAATGTTACTTGACTCGTTGAACGAGATTAGTTTATGGAATGGAAATCGCTACCTTATTCAATTAAACTAGCCCAAAAGTGTACCACTAGCAACTACCAATTCTCTTTTATCAATCACAATTCACATGAATTGACAAATTGAGCAACATTGCTTCTACGTATAAAATTTACCATAAAATGACAAATTTTCAAATACATTCCTTAACCACTAAAATATAAGTATATAACAATGTCCTCTCTCTTAATATTTATTTGAGAATTCTTGTATAGACGATCAGACTACGTATTAGTTACACAAGAAAACATTAAAACAAAAGCGAAACACAAACAAAGCAAAAACAAAAAACAATTATAAAATCAGAGAAAGAGAGAAAAAAAGGGGTTACCTGAAAAAGGAAGAAAGGGATAGAAAGGGAATTAAGCAGAGAAGATTGCAAAAGCTTCAACCCTCTTAACATAAACCCTAAATGTCTAGCATTTGCACCCTTAAACCCATCAAATAAATTAAATGCAACTGCAATTGGAACATTCCTCTTGTTTGCTTCATCAATGGCGTGGATTAATGCCCAGTTATCTCTAACCCTTTGATCTCTGAACATCCAGTATACAACTGCCCCATTCGGGTTTGAGCCCGCTTTTATGACCCGGATTCTTCCGGGTTGGACCGTTGTTGTTGGGCCCGGCAATGAGGTCATTGGGTTGATCTTTGGCCGGAGAATTGTGGGGTCAGGGGAAGGGGAAGGGGAAGAGAGAGAAAGAGGGTTGTGTGTGATTTTGGTGACGGTTGAGAAAAGGGAAGACGAAATGGAGGGAATTTTTGGGGGATTTTTGTGGATTTGGAGTTGTGTACGTGGACGTTGTTGGTCTTGACACGATATACTAACTACCCTTGACTACTTTTTAATGACCTAACTCGTATATTGTATGTAAGTTGTAACTTTGTAAGTTGTATGGTATGGTTGTATGGTGCACTTGAGGTCTGGACCTTTTTAATGACCTACTCGTATATCGCTTATAAAGTTAAGTTGCATGGTATGGTCGTATGGTGCACTTAAGGTCTGGACCGTGCAAATGTCATACCTCACAGTCACACGACTCGAACTATCGAGTCGGTGGATCTTGGGGTGCATTTTACAGATAATAATATATCGACGTATAAAGTGCACACATTAATGTTAATATCGATGAATAAGATGTACATCATCCGTTTCTATTTAGTTGACGCGTTTGATTTAGGCACATATATTAAGGAGATGAAAGAGAGTGAGAGAGAATGAAAAAGCAAGTGGGGTAGCTTGAAAATGTAAGGTAAAAAATTCACCCCAAAGGGATACGTGTCAACTAAAAAAAAAACTTCATAAGGAATACGTGTCAATTGAAAAGAAACGGAGGTAATATATGTTAATTAATGTCTTTGATGGTACATATTCTTGGCGTACTAAAAAAACTAACTATTCGCAGCTAATAAAGCACCTCTGGCACTTTTTGGCCTTTCCAGTGACCATTTCATTGCTTGTTGGTAGGGCTGGCAAAAGCTGACCCGACCCGACAACCCGACCCGAACCCAACCCGAAATAAATGGGTTTTGATAGAGATTTTCAACCCGTTTATGTAATTGGGTCAACCCGAACCCGACCTGAAGTTAAATGGGTCGGGTTCAGGTTGAAAATCCCAACCCGAAACCAACCCGCATAAACTCGTTTATTTAATTGGGTCGGTTTCAGGTCGGGTCAACCCGAACCCAACCCGCTTAACTTAAAACCCTAATTTTAAAATATGGGCCAAGCCCAAATTATCTAACCCTAATTCCCTCTTTCTCTCGCCGCTTTCTTTCACTCAAACTCTCTCTCTTCTCAGTTTCTCTCTCTTCTCTCCTCTCTTTTCTCTCTCTAACTCTTGAAGATTGAAATAAAAATGCTTGAACCTTGAAGATTGAAGCTTCATCTCAAACATTCTGAAGGTAATAATCCTATTATTCGATTTTTTATGAGTTTGTTTGCTCATGAGTCATTTGTTTATGCAATTTCCTTGATTTGGTTATGCAATTTTCAGATTTCTTTGATTTTTTAATGCGATTTTTTGCTATTATGGTTTATGTATGCTTTGTTTATGTGATTTAATCATTTAATGTTGTTCGTTTGTTATTTTCTTACTCTGCAATTTCTTTCGAAGATTTGATTTGTTATTTACTTATTTTGCGATTATTTGCGATTTGTTTATGCGATTTTTTGCCCTGATTTGATTTTCTTACTCTGCAATTTCATGAGTTTGATTCTTTATGTCATGACTCATGAGTTTATACTTCTGTTTTTCATGTTTTATCTTTTATGCCATGAGTGTAATTCTTTTTTTAATTTATTCACAGATGGCTAATAGCCCTAATCCTGATGAACCCATTGATCTTCCGGATTCTGATTCAGATGATGAAGTTTCTGATTCTCATCAAACGGAATCAAAGAAGAAAACCTCTAATGTCACCTCGCTGAATAAGCCTGGAATTCATTTCAAGCGCCAACGAAAGCTCACTTCAGATGTGTGGGCAAATTTTGAATTCCTTGATAAACCTGACGAACAAGGTAACATCATTTGCAAGTGTAAAAAATGTGGGCAGAAATATAATGCTGAAAGTAGGCAAGGAACTGGTAATTTAAAACGCCACATTAAGAAATGTAAAAAAAGGACCTTTAAAGATGTGGGTCAGATGATTATTGATTCAAGCAGTTCTGGTTCTATGATGAATAGGGTTCCTACAATTGATTATGATATTGTTCGTGAGATGTTGTCTATTGCTGTGGTGAAACATTATTTGCCTTTTCAGTTTGCTGAATATAGTGTTGTTAGGAAGTTGATTAATTACATAAATCCTGATGTTAAACTTGTGTCTCGAAATGCAAGATGGATCCGCAATTGCAAGATTTATGTGGAAAAATCATGGCCATGAAAGTCAACGATGATGTGGGGGATACTCCCAGCCCCAGCCCTCCACAAAGTGCACCAGAAAGTCCTACTGTCATGGAGAGTCAAACCTGATTATGTTGTTAATTTCTTCTAAAATTAGTTGATGAAATTGTTACTGTTATTTTGGACATGTATTTTGTTTTCTAGTTGAACTTTTATTTGCCTACTTGGAAGTATTTTGGACATGTAACTCTTGGAAATATTTTGGACTTGTTGGCTAGCTACTTTTTCAAGTTTTAGTTGTTGTTGTGAGTGTATGAAACTATGAAGTATGGACAATGCACTAATGCAGCAGGATTTTCTTGAATTATGTTGTTAAGTTATGTTTGCTTGAATTATGTGTTGAATTTGAAGTCTTGAATACTTGAATCTTACAGGTTAAAGAAATTAGTCAAATTAGAGGTTAAAAAAAATTACAGTATAAAGAAATTAGTAAATTACAGGTTTTTATTTTAATTTTTTTTAATTAAAAAAAAATCAGATTTAGGCGGGTCGGGTTCAGGTCGACCCGTTTATAATCAGGTCGGGTTCAGGTTGGTTATTTTGACCTGTTTAAGTAAACAGGTCGGGTTCAGGTTGGGGGGTCCTGACCCGTTTATGTAAACAGGTCGACCTGAACCCGACCCGACCCGACCTGTTTGCCAGCCCTACTTGTCGGCCTTTCCATGGACCATTTCATGGCTTGGCACATTTAAATACCAAACATATCAAACAATAAGGTATTACAGAGTATATGTTTGTAATAAGTTTGTATTCACATGATTTTCACTTATCTGAATTATCTTATTTTACATAAGTATGAACTTATTTGAATTTACCTACACTTATCAATTTACTTCCTTTGTTTCTTTTAGCTGCTACACTTTTCTATTTTGAAAATTGTTAATTAGTTGCAAGACTTTTCATTTTTGACTTCTCTTTCTCTCTATCTCCCTCCTATCCGTGTGAGTCCCTCTTTTTTTTTCTCTCTATCTCTTTCCTCTTAAAAAATTGTCTAAGAGACCGTGAAAATAAAAGAGTAGCAACCTTAAAAAACAAAAGAAGTATTAAATATTATTAAAACTCATTGTAGCTGTAACCTAAACTTAACTCATGCTTCGAAGGTAGCAGTAAACTTTAACGTATGCAATCGATTTAACCATTAGTTTAAGGAGATCAAAGCGAGATTTCCATTTAAAGCCAATTGCCAATAGGAGAAATAGCCCACTAGGATTATAAACTGTAATTCCTTTGCTTTCTTTTTAATGCGGAATAAACAGTCCTCAGACTTGTACCTAACAATCTCCCCCTAAAGTGTGAGCCTATACATCCCCCTTGAACATAAACACACCAAGACTTAAAAAAGCCTATGGTAGGATCAAACCTAGCTCTGATGTCAGTTCGTTATAACATATGGAAGAAACAAGGTAGAGAAGTCCAAAAGCCCATGCCACAAACCAAAGCCTAAAAAAATAAGGTTCCATTTTAAAACCAATTGATAATAGAAAGAGTAGTCCTCTTCTTGGTTTGTAAACTGAAAGTTCTTTACTTTGTTTTTGAGTGTAGAATAAACCATAATCACAATTATTACACCTAACAATGAGAGTGAGGTGTTAAAAAAATGTGTTAAAAAAACAATGAGAGTGAGGGATAACTCAAGTGGCTAGAGCTTCTTTTCCAGGTTTTAAGAAATTTTGAGATCGATTATTACCCCTCCCTTATGGATTTCTAAACAGGAAAAAACAATTACACCTAACAACACATGTCATTAGATTGTACAAGGAACTACATATATTTAGTATACATAATGATCTCAACATTGAATCCATCCCATCATCAAATGAAAAAAGACAATCTATGTACAATTGTTCTAATTATATGAACACATGTTTAAATAGAGTCGAGGTATTTATTTTTATCAAATTTTCTACTACTTAATTTATGACCATAAATTTTAAGTTTAATAGGTTGGACCAAAATCTTATGTAGACGTGAAGGACATGGACATGAACCCAAAAACTATCTAGATTTTTAATTACTCATTTCAAAGATCTATTCTATTTTACTTACTTATATAATATTTGTGAAAATTTGATGTCTTCTCTATCATAATTATTGTTAGAAATTGTAATATTGAGAAGGTATGGATCAACTCTATTTAATTAGTTTTGTTTTTAGCATGCTCATGCTAATTGTTATGATAACAAATCACGGATCAATAAGACTTTAATTTTTGTTTTGTTTTCCTTATCAAACTACATTCACCATAATTCTTAATATTATGATTCAAAAAGTTCATAATGAACACTCCAAAATTCATCAAGTACAAATGTTAGTTTCATTTTTAAAAAAAAAAACAGAGAGAATAATACTTGTATATTGTCACGTTTCTGAAAATTATAAGTCTATATGAAGATTAAAAAAAAAAAAATTACGCCGCTTTGTTTAAGAGACATCAGGGTAAATTATAAAAATTTCATATAGGCCGAGGACAAAATATGAGTCATAAACATAAGAATCGTGTGTTCAACAAAAATCAAGAGAACCATTTACTTGTTATTTATTAATTTAGTTCAACTTAGATAATCAATATACCTATACGTAATTAGCTCAAATGTCCATGAAGGGTCATCTACTCATTCCTGATATTTTGTTCCATACGTTAATGTGTCTACTGGAGGCTGGTAGAACCAAGTACCTCTCTTCTAAATGATCACTAAATTTATTTATCATTTTATTTTTATAAAAAAAATTTATAAAATAGATGATGAATATTATGTTGTTGTATCGAAACATCTTGTGACAGATCATACGTCACAAGAAAGAAAACGGATGAATAGAAGGTTTGAAAATGATATACTTTTTGTTTTGGCAATTGGTAAATTTGATTAAATCTTGTGTTTTTGGATCTTTCTACTTGAGTATCATGCTATGTATGGTACAAGTTTTACTTTTACGAGTATGAACAAAACACTTCATTGAAAGGGGTGGGGGTGTTGACACTGTTCACTACACTATTAACCACTTTGAAACAAAATTTGAGGCTGTAAACTTGTAAGTTGTAATATATTCTTTGGCCGACATTAAATGATAATGTTAAGAAAAAACATGTTTCACAATGTCAATTTATTTTAAGGTATGTAATGCTCCATAATCTTTTATGGTTGAGTTTCTTAATATGATACATACCGAAAGTAATATCTGGCGTGACATAATTCATACAAATACAACTTGCTTCAAGGGAGTTACTGAGTTCTTATCCTTAATTTCAAGAGATTAGACAATTTACGGAATAACAATTGCTTCGTATTATCAAATTGCAAATTCTACGCACGCAGATCGATGGTACATATGGAGTACCAGAGTATGAAGTACAAAGTATATAAAATAGTACTTCTAATATACTTATGTATATACTTCATTGAAGGAAATAAAATAATTATAAAAAAAAAAAAAAAACAATTAAGGGTCTTTTTTATAGACTGAACTCAGCTGAAGTGAACTGAACTGAAATGAATATTTACAAACAAATTACACACATATTTTTTTTCTTCCATTTTTCATATTTATGATGTTATATACAGAGTTTTGTCCATAACAATTTCAACAGTATGAATGTAATGCAAATCACACTACTCATTTTCATATGTAAATCATCAAATGAGCTGCAGCATATATTCAAATACTCTTCTAGCACTCCAACTTTTACAAAGTACATCTGCAACTATCCACATTTCCTGTATTCACAATTGCTCTTTTTTTGCTGCATCCTGACGGTTTTCCCTCGGATACAATTGAATGATCAAGCCAAATAACTTTGCGCGATTAAAAAAATAATCTGATCCACTGAAGCAGTATTCCATGATGACTGATGAGTGTTGCCAATGTGCTATAAGCTGTATATTCCCTTACTAAAACGCGGGAGAATCAAAAGCATATATACATATATCTCCACCGTACCCTCTAAGCACTTATCTTTACTTATACTGTGCTTCATACGATTTTCATGACTTGTTTCAGGTACTTAGATTATTTCGAATCTAGGCAACCCAATACCATGAGCAACCTAAGCAATCTTCGCTCAAATTTGTTCATTCTTTGTGCAATAAAGGGTGGGAAGCCCCCCATAGGCGGTCCTAGCTGTTTAGTCGGAGAAAGCATGCTTCTGTTGCCATCGTCATACTGCATAGCTGAATTACTAAGAGTTGTAGCTGCAACTTCTGCAAGAGTTCCTTCACGACACTTCTTGTCGTTCTTTCGAAGATAAAAGGTTCTGCTTCCTGCATCCCCAATTGCATCTGATCTTTCCAAACCTATAACCAATATATCACTAATCATGAGACAATAGTGATTTAGTCTTTTAAGCCTAGTGCAAAAGTTGGCAGTACAAATACTGCTGAATTCAATTTTCTCGGTTCAAAATGTTCAAATGATAATTATTTGTCAGACTAATACGAAATAAGTTAGACAGCAAACCAAGTATGCAAATACAAGACAGTTTACTATTAAAAACCAGCAACCATCAGACGCGGACCTCTAGCTATGGTTGCTGGTTTTGCAAAGTATATTAATGAATGAAGTCTAAGAAATTAAAAGGGGACTTACATTGAAGACTGAAGTAGGAAACATGCAAATCAAAGGAAACAGAATCCTTATCAAGACGAGGAGTTCGGCCTTCTTCTCCATATTTTTGAACAACCAGCTTGATAGTATCCTCCACACTAGTCCCCAATTTAATCAGGGTCCTAATCGGTCCTGGACTCCCTTCCACGGTCACTGTAATCAACACCTTCGCATCTTTCTCATACCCCTACACAACCATAACACCCAATTTTGATTTCTCTTAAAAATTACGCGCATTCACAACATCAAAACATATTGTTTCATTGCTTGCATACTCAAAGAATACAAGGATGAATACATATTGCAACTGTAACATTTAAGACACGCTCACAAGACTCATTTCAATTTCAGTCTTAATCAACTGTTTCGTATGCTCACCAG